GCAGGTACGGGTGAGACATTGTCGACTGGGAAAGTAACTGGAGAGGTATCGGCACGGCTGGTCCTAGGACTGTCTAAAGAGGATGAAATTGAAGATGGCGAGCTGGCAGAGGAAGGAGGAGATTCAGGGGAGGATGTGTAGGACGGAGACATAAGGGGATGGCTTGGACTGTGGGTTGGCCGAGGGGTGGATGAAGGTGGTGCAGGGAGTTGGTGTGGCTGAAAAATTGGGATAGCAGGCTGATCCGAACACTCGCATAAACGAGTAATTTGGAACACAGTTAAAGAGTTTTTGGTACGGGGAAAGACCATTTAAGGTAGGAGAGGGTAATCTGTTAATGATATAGGCAGTAGTAAAAATTGAATCAACCCAATATTGACTCGGAACAGAAGCTTCAAGGAGCATAGTTCGAGTTAACTGAAGTAGATGACGATGTTTGCGCTCAGCAACCCCATTTTGTTGGGATGTGTCAGGGCAAGATTTTCGAAAATAAATAACATTAGCCAAGAAAAATTGCTGCATATTATGATTAACAAATTCACCTCCCCCATCACTTTGAAAATTTTTAATTTTCTGATTAAAGAGATTTTCAACCAAAGCTTTAAAATTTTTAAAGTGCATAAAAACTTCACTTTTGTGACACATGGGATAAATCCAAGTAAAATGTGAATAATCATCAATGAAACACACATAATACTTGAACCCCAAATTTGAATACACAGGAGATTGCCACACATCATAATGAATAATTTGAAGAGGAAAAATTGAATTATGACTAGCATCCATAAAGGGTAAACGTTGTGATTTTCCTAAACGACAAGCCACACACTCATGAGTGAAAGGAGTATGACTACGTAAAAATTGTTTTCTTTTGAGAAACTGTAAAATATTGTCACCGCAGTGACCTAGTCTACGGTGCCACACAGGGCCAGAAGCTAAAACGGAAGCAAAGACTAACGGTGATGATGATGGCAGAGTGATAGGATAAAGTGGCCCATTACTGGTAGCTCGTAGAAGTACTGTCCCCGAGGCTTTGTCCTTAATCAAAAAAGAATTCTTGTCAAAAATCACAATACAGTTATTATCAGCGCATAGCCTTTGAATGGAAATTAGATTATATTTTAACTGGAGCACATGATTAATAGATTGTAAAGTGGGAGGACGAGCAGAAGAAGGTAAAACAACATCACCAACATGACAAATAGGGAGATGGGTACTTTTAGCAACACTAATAGAATTATAGCCGTTGTAAGGAGATTTATTAAATAAATTACCATCAGATGCAGTCATGTGAGCAGATGCTCCCGAATTAGGATACCATAGAGCAGAATTAGCTTCACCAGGAGTAGTGAACAGAGCAGGAGCAGACGGTGGTGTGAAACGGGAAGGACAAATGACAGCGGAATGACCTACAGAAAAGCAAATTTGACAGACAACAGGATTTGGAACAGACCCAAGGATACCTCCGTCTGATGGTGAGCCTGCAGAACTAAAGTTAGTAGCACAAACAGGTAATGCATTAATATTTAAATGTGATATAGCAGAATTATAAAGAACAGTACCCGTAGATGTCACAGCCCCTGCATGTGGAGCAAAACTAACTAAAACTGGCTGGCCACCCCCTTCAGGGTTATAAACGGACTGTCCCTGTTGCGGGTACGAGTACACCGGCTACCCATAGTGTGCTGGTTGCTGGCCACGTCCTCAGTCTCTGCTCCCGCGACCTCGGCCACGGCCGCGTCCTCTCCTGCGATGCGACTGGCCCGGCTCGCGATGCTGTTGCCGAGAGGAGGACGAATATGGAAGCCGCTGCTGGCCCGCCTGCTGGCCAGTGGGCTGTTTGATGGATGCCGTAGTCGCCCCAATAGCCTCGTGAATGGAAGATGATTCTTGGGAGCGTAGGTAAAGGACCCGCTGTTCTTGCTCAAGTAGATGATTCTGAAGTGTCTCAAAGGGAAAATTTTGTGGAAATAGTGAGACAGTTGTAAATAGAGATTCATATTCTAGTCCTAGGCCCATAATGGTAGTTTTCAGCACCTCCCGCGATGGCACCGAGCAATGAATTGTAGCTAGATCATCAACTAAAGTTTTTATTTCCCTTAAATAGTGGTCCATGGACTGATCAAGTTTATTTTTAAGCTGAGAAAATAAACGCTTTAATTCCATAGATCTGGCTAAACTGGCAAACATAAACCGAGATTCTAATCGTTCCCAAATTTCTCAAGAATGTTTTAAGTCTCGAACATCAATAAGAACATCCTGCGAAAGGGTCGCAAATAGCCATGATCGGATGGTTTGATCAATGCGCAACCAAGTAGAAAATTCGGGATTGGGAGATTGACGATTAAGAACATCTATGGAATAAGTAGGAGGTACCTAAAAGGAGCCATCAACCATGCCAAGGAGACCTTGTGAAACAAGAAACGACTCGAATCGAGTCCTCCAAGTAGTATAATCTTCCACCGCTAGAAGTTTGGTAGTCACAATGTTCGTGACATTGGTCACCACATGGGAAATTATTTGAGAGAGTTCTGCCAAGAGGGATCCGGAAGAGCTGCTGGCAGGTGTCTGAAGGGGCGGCAGATGAGAGGCAACGCCTGGGGACCCAACGAACATAGGACTAGCAACGGTAGGAGCCGGGAAGGGAGGTGGCTGCACCGGGACTGGGGCGGACCACGGAAACGTCGGGGGAAGATTTTGGAATAAGGAGTACGGCAAGGGATGGCGGTTCGGTGATGAAAAGCCATTAGAGAGGGCCGGCTGTGCTGCAGTACCGATGGGAGAAGCAGTGCTCAGCGCTGGAGAAGAGCCAGAGGAAGGGGAGGTCATCACCGTGGTGGACGCAGCGGAAGAAGAGGGCAGGGAAGACATTGTTGCGCCGACGACGTGCGTAAATGTTGGTGGCGGCAGTAGGGTTTTGCTGTGCAGCACCAACAGGAAGAGAGAGAAACGCGGTTTATTTTTATTTTTATTGTGCTTTTGATACCATGTGAGAATAATGGGAAAAGTTACTCCCTGAGGAGTCCCGTCAGATATATTTATACTAGAAGAGTTTAATGTAAAGTACAGAACATCCCTATTTGTAATTATATTACCTCCGTCCCGGTGGACTTTGTCAAGTGCAAATTAAAGTAGCTGAAAAATAAGATAAGTAAAAACGATGTGGTTGATATTTGTGCAAATGAGAGAGAAATGTGCAGAACCACAAATTAGCTGATTTAATAGAGAAATGACAAAAAAATTTGGGACAACAAAAAATGTTGGCAAAATCTAATAGAACAGAGGGAGTATTAAATAATTAAGTAATTACACGCCAGCCTAATTAATCGTGTTAATTGGAAAAACTGAAATGACACACTGTTCCTACTTATTTTTTCCGAGTGACGATTAGACTAATATTCATTTGTCTTTTCATATTTATTGCATCAATTTTTTTATCAGTTGTGGCTTAATAATCATAAGTACCACACACTAACATATATTACCAGTTTGCCAAATTAAATTAAAATCCTATTTATGAAAAACGTTCTACCGTAAAATTTAGCTTCTTCTTTTTTGAAAAAAAAAATAGAAATTTAGCCTTTAAAACCAAAATTTTATAAATGCACTTTAGGAAAGTATAGAGAATGTCAAGAGCATAGCCGAAGAGACAACCCAATGCATCATTATCAATCTTGAAATTTAAGCCACTTCACGATATAATACACTTAAAAAAGCATGCCCACTATCTCACATAATATTACAAGTATATAATCATATTGTTATTGAAAATTTATATGCCCTCCCAATATATTTTATCTCTATTTCAATTCTTTTATTAGCATTAAGTGATCTCCAGGGGCGGCGGACCCAGGAAAGTCATCTTGGGGGTGAAAATATTTTTGGAGGATTCAAAATACTTTTTGGGAGAGCAAAAAATATTTTTGTATATATATATACACTAAAAACTTTTTTTGTTGCGGGGGCGGTAACCCCCTGGGTCTCTACTACGGTCCGCCTCTGGTGATCTCGATTGATCAAACAAATCCTGCACTCTCGAGAATCCAACCTAAATTCTTGAGAGAAATAACTTCAAGCCACGTGAACAATTCGGTAGGTTTCATCGCCGTCTATACACTACTGATCATAAGAAGTCACTCTTAATTGATTGATTGATTGTGTGTGCTCCCAAATTCAGGTCAAATATTGCTTCTAAGAGACCGTCTTCGATTGATTAACATCACCGGATTCGATCCCAACAAGAAACTAACTCTTATACTGTTGCTTAAAATGAGACGAAGCGTTGATTGCCCGATCATTTGAGCTAGCCTTGGGAGACTAGAGATTCATCATTTGCGAAATCCTCTCAAATTCACCTAGGTTGAACTCAAGACATTTCACAAGAGTCGGGAGGATATATTTTAGATGTGAGAAGTAGCGAACCACTTAGATCCCTCTTGTGGAACTGTTCAATTCAAGATTAACGCATCTTTGGCAACCTTGGGGTAACGCCTTTGGCCTTATTCAATAACGTAGTATGGAGTATATTTTTATTTATCCAAATCGGATCTTATGTAGTATATCTATATATACTCCTTCCGTTCTTTTTTAGTTGCAACGATCAACATTTCACATTTGCCAACGCACGTCTTTGACTGTAATTATATCTTATTTCTATTAGTAAAAGAATATTAAAAATCAGACCTTGAATGTTTGTAATGAGATGAATTGAACAATACAACAACATCTCAACCTTAATCCCAAAAGAATTTGAGGTCGGTTAACATGAATCGATCAATGATATCGATGCCAAACAGAGAAGACGGACAAGAAAGGGAAGAAAAAAAGTAAGATAAAACGAATAAAATAAAGATAAATAAATATAAGATAACAATAGCACAAGAATATAAGAAAGATAAAAGATAAAAAAGAGCATAAAAAGCTAGTATTTAAAAATAACATAAGAATATACAAAGATAAAGAAGATAAACAATAAAAGAAAAAAGAGAGGAAAGGTAGAAAAGACGTCAATCGTCCACACGGATGTATGTCCTCCACTCTGCTCTCTCCAAAGTCATACTCTCATCCAACCCAAGAAGACGCATATCAGTTCTGATTCCTCTAATCCAAGTCTGTTTGGGTCTTCCCCTCCCTCACTTCTCTGCCTCTTCTCCCCACCCATCAAGTCGTCTAACAGGTGCATCACTCGGTCTTCTAAGCACATGCCCAAATCACCGCAAATGAGACTCCTACATCTTATCTTCTATAGGTGCTACTCCCACCTTTTGTCTGATTATCTCATTCCTCAAACGGTCTTTTCTGGTATGTACACACATCCAACGCAACATACGCATCTCTGTCACACTCATCTTTTGAATGTGGCATTGCTTCACCGCCCAACACTCTACGGCATACATTATTGCAGGCCTAATTGTTGTTCGATAAAATTTACCCTTCAGTCTAGTCGGTATACCTCGATCACATAGAAATCCTGAAGCACTCTTCCATTTCGTCCACCAGCTCTGATTCTATGGCATACATCTCCATCTAATTCACCATCCTTCTGAATTATGGAACCCAAGTAACGGAACATATCACACACTGGTATCTCATTACCATCAAGAGTAATCTCACTGTTGCTACTACTTCTACCTTCACCAAACTTGCACTCCATATACTCAGTCTGAAACCTTGGTCTCCAATGTTTGTCGTCATACCTCCAACTTTGCTTTAACATCGGATTGTGTCTCATCAATCAATATAATATCGTCGACAAACATCATCTACCACGGTATATCTTCTTGAATTGAACAATATTTTTTTAAACATAATTTGCATAAAATAATAGCGTAAAATGTAGTCAAAATAGAGCATGTAAATAGTGTAAAATTCAACGTGTTGCGATTAAAACGGAACGGAGGATAGTATATAGATTTAAAGAATGGGTCATACTCATGGCGGTTGCATTTTTAACAAAAATAAATTTTTAAGATAATAATATAATTAGGGGATATTAATTAGGGTTGAGTGATCATTATTTAAAGTTAACCTTTTTTTGAAAAAATATAGAGTTCAACTTAATTGCTTACAAAATCATAAATTTGATTCAAAATTATTTTTTTATAATTGGTTGATAAATTTGTGATTTCACTAGAATAAGTGAAATCATAATTCCAAATATAAAAAAACGTGCTTTTATTTAAAAAGTCGCTGTTAGATTCAGTTCACTACAAAAAAACATCTGATTCGTACAAATCCCACACAACTTGGTCGACATCTTTAAATTGGAGATTTTTACAATTTGTACATGGACATATGATTTTATCACCATCCATATAATTCTTCTGTTCTTGTGCAAATTTAATAAAATCTTCAACACCATTAAAAAATTCCCTGCGTATTCCATAGTTATCCGTGACAACTCCTTTTCCGTACCGTATTATTAAAGGTTACCGCTGGAAAATCAATAATTGAGGTTTGTCACAGATTTTGTCACGGATCCGTCCGTGACAAACTTTTTTTGAATTTTGTCACGGATCTGTCCGTGACAAATGCCCGGGAGCAAAAAATGTTTTGGTCGGAGTAAAAAACCGATCACCAGAGTAAATTGTCACAGACGTATCCGTGACAAAACGTATTCGTGACAAATCCCATTTTTCCGTGACAAAGACCGTGACAACTTTGTCACGGCTGTAATCCGTGACAAAACGCCAGTTTTTTTGTAGTGGTTTAGAGAAGAGGTTTTTCTTCAAATGTAATTAAAATAATACTCATTGATAAAAATGTGATTATCGTAGTTATATAGTTTATAAATTGAACTAACATACATGTATAGTCACTGAGATGTAATATTTGAACAAAATAATAGTTTATTGTATGTCATATTTTTATTGATTATCCATATTTTGACATTATATTTGCAATTATTTGTGTAGTTTATATCAATAAAGGAATTTTAATGAGAAAATGTCATAAAAGAAATTAAAAATATAAAGAAAAAGCATTAATATATTCTTTTAAAAACTGGGATTGATGATCTTACTAGTATTCCACCCGTGTGTTGCACGGGGTGTAAGATACAAATATTATAAATATAAAAAATCATTTTACCTCTAAATCATATTAAAGATTATATTATAATTCATCTCGGGAATGAGTGTAACCACTACTAAATACATAATAAAAAAATATTTGGAGTTTAATAAGCATACAATTTTGCAAATTATTGAACCCTTCTTTGTAGACAACATTTTTTGCGGTCTTTTTTCGATTTCCCTCATCGTCGCATATCACGAACTTCAATCCAGACAAACTCATCACCTTCAAAACTGCAACATATAACTACCCATGTGTAAAAACTGGACGTCGTAGAAAAACGCCCACATTCTCTAACGATTGTCCTTGGCTCTTGTTCATCGTCATTGCATAGCTAACCCCTAACCATCAAGGAAATTGCCTATAGGAGTGGACTCGGGCCAGGCCAACCGGCCCGGAACCGGACCGGCCCGCTACTGTGCGGGCCCGGTGAACCGGTTGGTGCCAGGTTTGGGCCACCCGGCCCGGTGAGGTAGGCGGGCCGGTCCTGGGCCTCCTAATTCGTGAACCGGCCCGGCCGGTTCAGGCCCGGCCGGTTCGGGCCCGGTCCAGGCCAAATTATTTTTTTTCTTTTTTTTTATTTTTTTTTTAGTTTTTGGGTTGGGCTGGGTATGATGGGCCATTTGAGGTGGTTTGGGGTGGTTTGGGGGTGAGAGGGGAGGGTTGGGGGTAAATTAGGAAAAGCCAAAAAAAAACTATAGAACTGAGGCCCGGCCCGGCCTGGACCGGACCCGGGGTTACCCGGGCCGGTTCCGGGCCTCCCCTTTCATGAACAGAGGCACGGCTGGGCCCAGGCCCGAACGGGAACCGGTCCACCCCTACGCATGAATGTGAAAGGTAGCGTCACATCTGTCGGGGTTAGACTAATCCTTGGGATAAGGAATTTCTCACCTGCATTAGTTCCATACATCATCTGTGCCTCAATAATATGTTCACCAAGTTTTGTCACTAAAAGTCGGGTACCATTACACAAGCCGGCCGAATGATCTATATTCCTCATGAGCATCACCGGTACACCAACTTTTAGCTTCAACTCGTGACTTGGAACACCAGAACATTTTATGCCGTTAAGGAATTCAGGAGTGAATTTCCTGAAGGAGCTCATTGCATGAGGTTGAGGAACACGCTGATTCTGAACTGAAATATGTCTTTTCCTCTGAGCTGTTCTGCAGCAACATGAAAGTAATTCAAATGTTACACTTTTTACAACACAAATTTTACAGCATACATAAATGATGGAATAATTGAAGTGAAAGGCAAGCAAACAGGTTACAAAATACTTGATATGCATCGAGAAAGAAAAAATTGCAGTGCGTTTCAAACTCAAGAGTTCACTGTGCCATTAGTATGTTTTAAAATCATCATGGCCCAATAAGAGAAGAAAAATCGTAATAACAAAAGTTTTAGTTTGGAACCAATGGAAAGTTCAAAACTGAATAAATGTTAATATATTCCTTCGGCAAAACTGAATAAATGTTAAAGTAATGGTATATTTTGTCACTTATTCCAAATTGATGTTAGAATGCCACTAAGTGTACACATAAAAGTGAAAAAAAGTTATTGTGAATACATACATACGGGCACGTTAAGTATTCTAGAAAATATGAATCTAAAGAAAGTTGAAAAGCATGTCAAATTTCTTGAAAGGTAGATTAGCTTCTTCTTTTGAGAACCAGAATTTAAACCAAATGAATAAACCAAAACTTTTAAACCATTTAAAGTTCTAAACTGAAATGTACTCAGTAAGTTTCATACATACAAAAGTAAACAAAATATAATTCTTATGAACCATACTACGAAGGAGGTAAAAAGTTGCATTATAAAAACAGTAGCACAAAAACAGATTGATGACTACAAAACTGGGAAGCAGTCTAGTGTGATGTGAATTCCATACTAATAAAAGGAATGTACACAATGGAACACATATTCAATGAAAAAGACAGATAAAATAAAATCAAAAGTAATTAAAAAATATGGCATTGGGTAGTTCATCACCTTTTCATTCATCAAAACTAATTCACAAACGCGGGAACCCAAGCTCATGTTCTGGTCTTTCACAATCCACTTTCTCCTAACACAAAACAAAAAGGCAGAATTTTGTGGGAGTTGAAGAGTCATATGAGAAAGAAATTTCTTCTCAGTTGGCATTTTTTCTGCAATATCATTCAAAGAAGAAGCAAGATTTGAACACCAGAAATTATGAATACACTGAACGTACTTTTAAAGCAAGTTATAAGTGTATATGTATTTTTCCGAAATTTTACTAATGGAAAGTATAAATCCGAAAAAGAAATAATAATAATATGATGATGATATAATAATAATTATAATAATAACTATTATAATAATTATAATTAACAACTAAACAAATGTATCATATGATGTAAGTTCACGAAGGATTTTATCAGAATGAAGGTCATTGATTTAATGGTGAAAGAAGATTGAACTATAAAAGTATTTAATGGTGAAAGATGATTGAACTATAAAAGGTTAAATGACATACCTGTTGAAACCTCTGCCTTCAAACACTAAGATGCTCGAGTCCTTTCTAAGTTTATGGTATGTGCGTGTATATATAATAGAAGGTCGTTTGGTGCTGGTGTGTAACTATATTTGGACCCTTAAATATGAATCTCAATGATTCATTCTGTAATTTAGAAGATGCACATTTCCTTATATAGTTAGGGTTAATAATGATACATGTAATTAAGTGCACGATTTTATATATGTATGTATATAATAATATTATAAGATTCTTACCATTCATACAGCTGGAACTCTTAATAAATATCGAAATGAAATAAGGCTTTATTAACTAAACAGATTTATTATATGATATGAGTCTAAAATAGAAGGTAGATTCTTACCATTCATATAGTTGGGACTCTTAATAAATATAAAAATGAAATAAGGCTTTTATTAACCAAACAGATTTATTATATGAGTCTAAAAATAGAAGGTAAATTTATCCCATGTATATATAGGATTGCACATTCCCTTACAAAAGTGTTTCCTTCTAGGTTCTGAGTATACTTGCACAGTCCCGGATTATTATATGGTGAATATACTTGCTATTCTTAAGTTTTTATTTTATTTAAATAAACGTTTTGTATAAGGTAGAGCATACTTACCATTTTTAAAGTATTTATTTAACAAAAAAATGTTTCTTTTATTGTACAATATACTTACCATTTTAACACTCTTAAACTTGACAAAATAAAAGAGGTGAAGCATGTAAATATGATACTTTAAACAGAATTTCAAAATTATATGATAAAAATGTTCTAGGTAAAAAATGTTGTATGTAAAAATGTTGTAGATAAGAAGATGGATTTTTTATACTATGATGATAATTTGAAGCACAATAGATAGTACAAAAACAATATGTGAATTGGTGATAAAACTTTAATATGATGCAAAGGAGAACATAGAGAAAAGGAGATGATACCAAAAAATAAAAATAAAAAAGTGATAAGAATGTTGATAAAACTTTAATATGATGTAAGGCAGAAAACAAAAGAAACGGTGAACTACTCAAAATGACTAATGAAGGTAAATTCAATACTAAAAACACATGTGGGAATTTCTGTAAAAAGAAGTAAAAGATGCAATTTTGTTTTACATTTTTTACTCAACGTAAGGCATTTAAGGATACGGGGCGGTAGACGGTAATTCCTACCACCAGCATTGTATATCTGAATGTCGAGATTTTGAGCAACTTTCTTCATTACAGAAAGGAACGACTTATCAAATTCACATAAATATACCTGCAGCCAGAAAAAAGAAGTATAAAAATGCATATTATAAGTATTAATATTTAAAACATTTAATATTTTAATATGCTTAGTATAACTTATAGTCATAATTGAAGGAAACATTTAACATTTAAAACTTCTTTGTATTAATATTTTTGTTTCAATACCAGGCATATTTGAATATTCACCATAGTTTCATGATCAACTTTTGGAAGAAAAGCATTACGACAAAATCAGTCATAACTTACATTTTCAATAAAGTTCAAAACTGCCAATCTATTGCAAGCAGTAAACTTATTTCTTGAAACAAAAAGTGTAATGAGATTTGTAACCTGTATTCTCCTTATTGATATACCCATAATCAAAATAGACATGTTCACGGGATGTAAAATGACATAATAGGAGAAGAAGAATAGAGGAAATTGTTACCGTTTAAGCTCCGTGTGAAAAGATCCGTGTGAGTGTTGCCGCAGGAGAGTTAGACATATTAAAAGATTTAGTTTACCTACATTACGTTCATATTCATTCTGAAATCAGTATGCCTAATGAAACACCATCCTGGAATACTCTTAAATCGTGTATTCACAACAATTCATTCTACAAATAGATTAGTTAAGAAATTTATTGTGAATAAACAATCATACGTAGTTTCAAGAGAAGGTCTTAAAAGACAAAAATCTTACTACACATACATTTCTCTCTCCTTTTATATTATTTTTTATACTGCTAAAGTGCCATTTCTTAGATGCTTAAATTACGCTAATAAAAAATACCAACTCAATTGAGTGTAATCTAGAATGCCTTTTCAAAAATACTAAAGATGTGGTAGAATTGAAAATGAAGATTTTCAGTTCCAGGATGACATAGTACCTGGGATTTTGTCGACGCGATCGATGACATATACTGTAGAAACTCTGCCATCAATGGTTTTTTCTAAACTGAAAAATGTAGGAGCAATAATCTCATTCAGACAATTAAACAAACAGTTTGTGTGCTTCTCTATATACCTACCAATAAAATACAGAGTACTAAATAAAAATTTATTTTATGAGATTATTACCATTATTAGGACTCTTAACTACCACTCTCTAGTAGAAGTATAAAATTGAATCAATGATGCTCTGGTTTTATTAGTGAGCTTCTCCTACGATGGCAAATAAGTTGCACATGAATCTTGACCACTTGTGAAAGATAATTGGAAATAAAATCTGAAAATGAAGATTGTAAGGATACAATATACCTCATAAAGATGAAAAATCTAGATGGAGTGCCATATCCATATCTTCGTGGGTAATGGAATTGACGAAAGGAGCTATAGATGAATGATACTGGTTGATCAAAAGATTATGTGTGAAAGAGGAGAAGAAACGGCAGGGATGTATCGGTGAGTACAGATAAGCTACTTGCATACGGTGTTGCTGCTGGACGCCTTCGGCAAAATCATGTGGCTTGATACACGAGGGGCGGTGAAATTGGATGGTGGAGAGAAATTGAGAAGATAGAGACGTAGGGAGGAAGTGAAAGATAAAAGAAATGGAAGGTATATGGAAACGGTTTGAATACAAATGGTGAATATGGCAAAAAATACTCGGTATATGGGCAAAAATACCACCGATTTTGTAGAGGCGGTCGAATCAAACGGTGATGGAAGGAAGGATGGATGTCGCCTGAATTGAAGGAATTGAAGCGGTGGGAAATCATATGTGGTCATTTCCTTTGGTCCTCTTCTTGTTCGCCGGCCGTATGCAAGGAAGGGGAATGAAACGATGATGGAAGGAGGAAATGGGTGAAGAACGTGGAATGAGTGAAAGAGAAAAAGAAACGGGCGTGATTCCTGTAATTTGGGGGTAGGCGGGATCACTGTTCTATGAACAGTGAAGTACTGTTCATTGAACAGTACCAATTTGTATTGTTATTATGTACTGTATATATAGATTATCAGTTTGATTATATTAATTTAAGGCATACATCCTATACTGATGACTAATTTTAACATGTATTTCTGGTCTCATGGATAAAACTATTTACAACCCAGAAGTTAATAAAATTCTAGCCAAACGGACTTAATTGGCTGAATATGATGAATTAAAATAGAGACGTGAAATATTACCCGAAATAGGACTAAAACAATTTGAAAATTCCAAAATAGGACTATCATGTTTTTATTTCCAAAATAAGACTAATTACTGTCATGTTTTAGCAGTACCAAACTTCAAACATGACATTATTTTCTAAACATGGCAATAATTAGTCCTGTTTTGGGAATAAAAAACATGACAGTCCAATTTTGGAATTTTGAAACTGTTTTAGTCCTATTTCGGGAACTTTCCCATTAAAATATTATGTACTTTATTAATAAAATAAAGATAAATTTATATGAAAAATAGTTAAAATGATTCTATACAGTAACTTCAACCAATTCAGTCATAAAACTAATTTCAATCTTACTTATTTAGACTATTACTCAACTACGCATGCAAAATAAGAAGTTATGAGACGATTTGATAACACATGTTTTCGGCTTATCAGTTGTATCGTCCAACCTTTAACCAAACATATACCATTTGATTTCACCTGTTGTGTAATAAACAATAATATGTCAGGTTAGAGTTACTTTTCGCACTAAATTGACTATAAATGCAAATTTTTATTAATTCAACAGATTGTGAAGATATGAGTTGGAGCATCTCCAATGCTAAAACGTTAATTGTGCATATGTGGCATGAGAAATAATTAATTAAAAAACAATAAATAGAATATTTCTCTCCTTATTTGAAGGATATTACATCATTTTGGTAAGTTTTTCTTCACAATGTCAAACACAATGTCTAGATGTAGAAATTGTGGTTGACATTGCAGACAAAAACTTACCAAAAACACATAAGACCGTGAAAAGAATGAGAGAGAAATGTCATAAACTCAATATTTTGTGTCTATCTCTCTCATGCCACATGTGCACTGTGAACATTGTAGCATTCAAGATGCTCTTACATACCAAACAGCTAATTGACTATTATAAGCACAAAGTTCCCGCTGATTCACCACTGTAATCATTAGCAAACTAACCACAAGATTAAAGCATTTGTCCTCTTGATGCATAAAATAAAGCCCTTAAAACGTGTACTACACAAAAACAGAAATCCCTAAATGACAGCTCATTGCGTCGCAGCCGTAATCTATTTGTTAGTTACAGAAGAATTACAGTTGTACATATTTTGGAATGAAAATTCTGCTCTTTTGGTCATATTAGGATTAGGCCAATCATAATGCCATCCCTGTTTGTTTATTCCAATATTCAGTGCATGATTATTAAAAGAAAAATTAAGCCTTAAAATCATATTTATAATATTGTACTCATTTTATAAAATTTACTTCTTTTACGGAGTCTCTCAACACCAATTAGAACCTCTGTGCAACTTCGTAAAATGATGTGCGATTTCACAAGGTTAAAATTCGTTAGATTTCTTTTTCTGTGCACAAAAACAGGGAAAACAAAATGATAGTGTACGTTAATAACCACACAAATCTTCAACTATTCTAGAATCTTTTAAAGTATGAAGTCAATTTAACCTCAGTTTTTTTCTCACACAAATATGGTACAACAGTTTGGAATAAAAACCATAAATAAATTAGAAACACTCATCAATTATTTAGACTTTACAGATAATAACTGCATAAAAAAACATGTAGTGCTAAAATTGAGAGAATGTTGAAATATTTTATACCAAGTTAGAATCGGAATACATAAACGTTTGTAAACTCGAATTACATATAATCACAAGCATTATTCATTTAGCCATTATTTCTTGAATACTCCTTATAATACCAAAATTAACTCCTATTTGTTTAAAAGGAGGGGATGAAAGGAAAGAGATGAGGAGAAGGGGCGGAGCCAGGGCACTAGATCGGGACAAAGAATATTTTTGGGGAAAAAGTTAAACAAAATTTTTTACACTAAAAATTAAACCATTTTTTAAATTTGGAGTGGGCCAAGGCCTAGGTTGGGCACCCCCTATCTCCGCCCATGGCGAGGAGGCAAGGGGAAGGAGGGAATTTGACAAATCTATCCTCCAAAACACCCTGATTTGGCAGATTTAAAACTCAATGGAATAAAGGACTTTAGAAGTCATCCATCTTTTCCTTTTCTTCCCACTTTCTTCAATAAAACATACATGAGTCGCCGTTCACTTTCCTCCTCTTCCCTTTAAAATCTTTCAACCAAACAAAGTCTTAATCTTTGTTCATTACTTTACCTACCTCATTTTGAATTTCCTGTTGAAGATGGAGCCTTGTTCTGAACGCTGAAGCAGATACCCGACCGAGTATGTTTGGGTTACCCGACCGGGTACTAAGATGAATCTGGCCGGAAAACTCTTTAGAAGTGATACCCGACCGGGTAAGGTGTTTTACCCGACCGGGTAAGTTGATGTTTGGACCTGGGAAGAATACCCACCTGAGCTACCAGACCAGGTAGCGTGGCAGAAGTCTCTCTGGAATACATACCCAACCGAGTATAGGAGCATACCCGACTCGGTATGCGGGAAAAATTTGTACGGGCTTTATTTTTTCGGGCCTGCGGCTCTAATTTGTGTTTAGGTTTTCTAAGACCTATTTAAACGACTCTTATATACTTGTAAACCCTGACGCACAGATAATTATATATACTGTTCTCTGTTGTTCATCGTGGACTAGCACAATCACCCCGATTGTGTGAACCACGTAAATTCTTTGTGTCCTAGTTCTTTAATTTATCGTTTGCTTAAACTTAATCGTAACAAGTGGTATCAGAGCTATGGCTGACGAAGGGAAAGTTAAGATCGACAAATTTGATGGTCAAGATTTCGCTTTCTGGAAGATGCAGATTGAAGATTATCTCTACCAGAAGAAGCTTCATTTACCTTTGTCTGAGAACAAACCAGAATCGATGGCGGAGGCTGAGTGGAACTTGCTGGATCGACAGGCTCTTGGTGTGGTGAGGTTGTCGTTGGCGAAAAACGTTGCTTACAACATCGTCAACGAGAAGGCAACATTTGGACTGCTCAAGGCGTTATCCAACATGTATGAGAAACCCTCAACGGCCAAAAAGGTTTTCTTAATCAGACAGTTGGTGAACACCCGGATGAAAAAAGGTGCAGCCTTGACAGATCACGTCAACGACTTTAATTCAATTATATCCAGGTTAGGTTTGGTTGAGATTAAATTCGATGATGAAGTTCAAGCATTACTTTTGTTATCATCTTTGCCCGATAGTTGGTCCGGTACAGTCACAACAGTTAGTAGTTTGGCTGGAACCACTAAGCTTACCTTTGAAGGTATTCGTGATTTGATCCTTGGTGAGAATATCCGGAGGAAGAGTACGGGGGATAGCTCCAACAGTTTGTTGAGTACTGAAGACTACGGGGCAGAAAATTCAACAAAAGAGGTAACAGGAGAGGGAGATCAAAGTCGAGGAAAAGAGGTCAATCCAAGAACAGGGAGGACATCAATTGTTGAAATTACAAGGAGAATGGACACTTCAGAAATCAGTGCCCAAAAGCCTCTGCAGACAAAGACAAGGAGGTGAACGTGGCAGAGGACTATGAAGATGTTCTAATTTGCAGCGTTGAGAATTCAATTGAGTCTTGGATAATGGATTCAGGTGCGTCGTTTCATGCATGTCATTGAAGGGAGTTGATGCAAAATTTCAGATCCTACAGCGGAAGAATTAATCTTCCTACCGAACAAAGTCTTAATCTTTGTTCATTACTTTACCTACCTCATTTCATATTTTCTAGTGGTTATGTATATGTAAACTCAACTCTGTTTATATCTCCTTATATCCTTATAAATGATCTATTATTATACATTTAGATTTTGCACTGTGTAACAAGTTTTGTTTAGTTAATTTTGAACAATAATAAATTAAATATCGTCTTCATCTGTCCTATAAAAGTTGATCAAAGTTGGGTTTCATAATCTCACAAGGGTGTCTATACCATTGTCATAGGATATAAAGCCACGCACAACACTTCCTTAAGAATATAAAGTCAACACATGCCTTGCTTTTTTCCCTCTCTTTTTTCCCACTTCCTCCAACAAAACATACCTGAATAGTCCACTTTCCTCCTCTTCCGTTCAAAATCTTCCAAGTTCCAACCAAAGAAAGTCTTAATCTTTGCTCATTAGTTTTTTTTTTTGAGAAAAAGAACGATTTTATTCATAAAAATAAAAAGTACATTGCAATAAGACAAATAAAGGAAAAAAATACATAGAATAAAAGAGAATATATAAAACTAAAGCTAGACCCAAGGGAAATCTCTGGACTGTGATCTAGTCTTCATGTTGTATCGCCTTTTGTTTTGCTGAGATTTCATGTAAAGTTTGAGTTGCGTATTTAGGTTGTCCGTTGGGCTGTTGGCGAACAGTTCTCAGGGGAAACGAACTTCGCTTATCTTTGCTCATTAGTTTTCCTCCTATTTGTCTTTGACAAGAAGGTGTTAATATATAAAATTAAACTTTAAATTGCAACATTTTGATATATAGAAGGCTTGAAGATAGCACACTAAATAACAAGATGAATCCAAAATACTCAAACTAGCGGGTGATTTAAACTAGTTTTAGAATGTCCCTTTCAACAAGTTAAAGAACTGTATTAAGAGAGTTTTTGGATCTTATGGTAAGGTCTTTTTAATGGTAAATGATTTGATAAAAAATTATCATCCCAACTAAAAAGATAAATAGATTTGTAAAAGTAAGATGATAGAAGGGCACTCCTATTTTAAATACTCTGTAGTACAAGAAGCAAAAATCATTAGGTTATTTTGAATATGTTTGCCCTGATAAATCAGGTTAAGAGCCATTCTAAAAAAGCTATTCT